TATTAGCCCACGCTAAATCATATCGCTCCTTTCTACATGAGAATGCACGACACATAATGTGTTCACCTGTATAATCACTGTCGTTTACAAGACTCTTTCTGATGCCTAACACTGTGGCACCGCTGTCTCGCAAAATCAAACACTCTTGGTCATTGATTAACCCTTTACTAAACTTGAGTTTACCTTCAAAACAAGCCGCAGAATTGGCTGAACCTGTAACTAGTATCTTGTGACCACATGTCAGTTTACATTCCTGATTAAATGACTTGCATACTTGACAGGATGTCTCTGTGAAATCCACCTCCTCTGCAGCGTTTGCAGTTTGCTCATCTGGCAAGTTTGCATCTGACACTGAACCGTCACTTTCATTGTTGCTGCTTTCTGATGTCTCTGCTGCACCACTCTGATGATACTGTTTGTGATATGGGCACTTTTCTTGCAAATGATCTACTGATCGGCAGCAACAGCATTCCCGACGTACGTTGTACTGGGTTTTTCTTTCCGCTTTCCTCTTGTACCATCTTTGCAAGTGTTCTTTGAACCCTGGGTTTTTCTCACACCATTGCTTTCTGCCATGCTCTGTTTTACAATATGGGCATGTAATCAGTGGACCCGTATCTCTGTAGGGTCTGTGACTCCTATAACTCTTGTAAGAATTCCTTGGTGGTTCGTACTGGTACTGTCTGTTTCTCATCTGAGGTTGCACAGCTGCCCCATAGTTTATATCTGGGCCTTTACCAAAACTGAAAACATTTTTATGAGCGTTAAAAGAAGCCTTTCCAGATGTTTCCATCGCTTTGACAGTTGATGGTCTTTGTTCGATCAAAAATGTCATCATGCTGGCTGGTAAACTGCACAAAACTTTGTCCCTAATTAACAGGTCTTTCAGTAGGTCAAATGACTTTAAAATTTTGGCGAGACTTATCCACTTATCAAAAGTGGTTTGAACTTCGGATAAATAATCAATGAAGTTCTGCTCAGGTTTTGGTGAAAGATTTTTGAATGCATTTCTATAAGGTTCTTCATCTAATGAAAAATGTTGTAATATCCTGTCTTTAACAAAGTCATAGTCATCTAGTTTTTCAACAGGGGTGGTTTCTAAAACTTTCAGTGGTTCACCCCCTAGATGTTTTCTGTACATGAGTTACCATTCTGTACGAGGGACATCATAATGTTTAAGCATGTACTCAAAGTTTTGAGTCCACGCTGAAAAAAAATTTAATGAGACCTTGGTTTTTTTTTAAAGATAACTCTGCTGCCTTTAATTCAGCCTTTCTCATCTGTATTTCTACATTTCTGTCGGCTTCCAGTTCTTTAGCCCTCAATTCCATTGTTAACTTTTATTTCTGCAGCTCAGAATTTATAATTATTTCTTTTTCCTTGATTAGTAATTGGACCCTGTCCCGCTAGGCTAGAGCTGCTAATTCTAATTCCTTCTGCTTTAATGTTGTCTGAGACATTGCTTCAGTCTCTTTCTGTTTGGTCATTGCTTGCGTCTCCACCTCTTTTTGTTTGTTAATCGCTTCGATCTCTTTCTGTTTAGTCATCGCTTCGAATTCTTTCTGTTTAGCCTCTAATTCCAGTTTTCTTGCTTGTCTCTCTTCTACACGATCCTGCCTTTCTTGCAGATCAGCATATTTCTTGTCAGCCCATTGGGGAGCCTTCTCACCTGTCAACCCATTCTGTTTGGCCAGCTCAATGAATTCAGCTATGGTAGACATCATGCAATGTTATAATTGTTACAACAAAACAGTGTACTTGCTTTCAAATTAATAAATAACACGCGCACTACAACAATCAAGAAGAGAGAGAAAAAAATTACAAAAACAAGTATGTATAATAATATATAATAGTAACACAATTTAAATTTCCAAATGGTATACTGGCAGTTTGGATAAACAATTTGGATTGTATTGACAGTAAGTGTCGGACAAGGATTCCGAAATCTACTACTTAACAATAGTTTACAAATGACATGATGATGAATGTACTAAAAAAAAAAAAATTCTATACAAATATTAACAATGATGAAAGAGGATAGGCTAGAATGATAGACAATGTACGGCACCGCTGTTCCAAAGACAACCCTGTGGAACACCACGGGCAAGAGAACAAGACCACAGCACAACACCACAATCAAGACACAACTTATCTGTTTTCCAGTCTGGGATTCATGATGCCCCTTGCAACAAGGTGATGAACAGGATTCACAAAATATGATGCCGAGGACTAAGGGCCTCAGTTGGAGCTTGTACTTCTTCACTCACTCAACACGTGGCGCACACACAATTATACGAAACTACTTGCATACAATATCATTGTCGGCTATACTACTCGTCAAAACGCCACATGTTCCTAACACAATCAGTTAATAATGCTAAGGACATTCAGTTGATACAATAACAGCACAATGTAACAAACGATCTTAAACTAGCTTCTATAACTATATAACTTAACTCTCGATCTAACTATCTACTATGAAGAACTGATTTCGATCAAGTTGTCACTAATTGAGGGAGCCATCCCAACGACGTCATCATACATTAAGAAATCAATTCAATAGTTAAATCTAATTTTTAAGAGGACGATAACCTATATAATCTAGTGGTAACTTTGTGAAAAGACAACTATAAACGCAACAAATCACGCAACAGCTAACAATATAAATAAATTGTCAGTATCTATTATCTGTCGCTATTCTAGATTCAACTCCTAAGGACGAACGATCCCATTATCTGTCAGGGACCTAATCTACTCTAATTATTTTATATGGCTCGCTAGGTAGGCCAGCTGACAGACTTAACTAACCAAACACACTTGAGACAATACTCCTGCTGAGTACAAAAAAAATCTTTAATGTACAATGAACGATACGTACGTTAAACACCTCAACCGAGCTAAGCAGTTCCAATCCGAAACCCCCTGGCGATGGCAGCTTTAAAATCACTGCTCAACCCATTCCAGTTCCCATGGATCTATCGGGGAACACTATTCTTAGCTGCTGGTTTCTTAGTGCTAATTAATCCGCCGTCTTTTGCCAAACGGGACTCAGCGATACACATAAGGTGTATGGCCTAAGCGTGACTGGGCAGTGTTATCGCCATTACAATGCGCGTCACCTTGATTAACTACTCAAACAAATACTGCATGGAATGTCTACTACACAAAGGACCTTAACTCTATACAAGCTGTCCGCTCTCATTCTGAATTGTACTGAAGGTCAACACGTACAAACGTGATGATACACTATCATATGTGGTGCTTTCCATAGCTGAACTGGCCTCTGACAACGTGATAAGGCCTCACTCTCTTTTATGGTGCAACTCTCACATTGTATCTCATGAATATGTGGTCCCAGATAACAAAACTGAAGGAGTTCACTCACATTGTATCTCATGAACAGGTGGTCCCAGATCACAAAACTGAAGGAGTTAACTCACATTGTATCTCATGAACAGGTGGTCCCAGATCACAAAACTGAAAGAGTTAACTCACATTGTATCTCATGAACAGGTGAATCACAAAAACTGAAAGAGTTTAACTCAAATCGTAGTAGGTCCAGATCAACAAAACTGAAAGAGTTACTCACATTGTNCAAACCTAAGCTTGTCCCACTGCACGTAACACGCCTTTCGCCATCTTTCTTATGTTACTTTGTGAGTCTGTTACAGTTACGACATGTGTGTGTGTGTGTGTGTGTGTGTGGTGTGTGCGTAGCTGGTTTGTGCTTCTATTACTCTTTTAACAAGATATTCTCACCACACTTCTATCAAACCATATCATGACAGCTTCCACATAGCATCTCACAATTTGTTTGAGTGGTTATGGTTGATATACCCATCTTTAAATTTATTGAGAAGCAAAGAATGAAATGGTTTGGTCACCTAGTGAGAATGGAACAAACGATGCCAGCATCAAGAGCATACAACATGAAAATTGAGACACTAAGAGGCAAGGGAAGACCAAGAAGAACATGGATTGAAGGAGTCACGGACAACTTGAGACTTCATAACATCACGGCATATGAAACGACTGAGCGCACCCTGGCTCGGTTGCCGATCATCTGATAGACTGCGACGCCTAGCGGCACAAGCAGATTTTGACAAAAGAAGAAGGTTATGGTTGAATTAAAACACTAATTGACTCAGTTTAACTTTAAAAAATGTTGTTTTAAAATCTCAACTGACAAATACCTGTTGTGTAGAATATGTTTCAATTTGCTAAGGGTTTCGCTGAGTTAAAAAGCGATATCACAACACTTGGGACGTTCACATAAGGTTCCCTCTCTACCTTCAGCAGTCAGAGGAGTTCCAGGTACAATAGTACAAGTAATAGTATGTTAGTAGGTCATTTGTATAACTGCTTCGTTGTGTTTAAGCATGTTTTCATTTGCGCTTTTCAACATTACAAGCAGCTGTTCCCAAGCAGCTAAAAAATCTACCCAAACTGAAATGATTTTACTTTCAAACTTTTAAAATTCCAAACTTTTTTGCGTTTCTTGTTTTTCTCCAAGATGTTTCTTCCCATCTGCTGTTTTAGACATATTTTTGTTTTGTTTATAAACCAATCAGTATTCGCCAACATCACACCTGTCTCGTTTACTTCCTACGAATGTTAACTAATACCTATTGTTAGCTAGGTAGACCTGGTAGCCAAGCGATGTTTGTTTTTAAATCTGACCCGATGCGAATTTGAACCTAAACGTTGTTGCCGGTAGGCTGCTGCTCCGCTGACCAGTTTTAACCTTAAAAGCCAGTGTAGCTGTGAAAAACATTTACTGTATACATTCAATCAATCAATTAGGCAGTGTCTCCACAATAAAGGTTGGCTGCAATCGATCTCTAAAACTTGTCCATCTCGTAATGCTGTCATTCTGAAGTGTATTGTTGTCTCCCTCTTGTTCTCTCGCCCTCGACACTTTCCGCCAGTACGGCGTTTGAAAGAGTGTTTTGTTACTTACCTTCGTTTTGTCTTGCAGACACCTGGACTTCTTCAGCGTCATGGCGTATGACTACCATGGTCTGTGGGAGAACGTCACTGGCCTGGGATCGCCGCTGGATGCACCCGAGGGTGATCTCCTGAACGTTGTACGTAGATGCAAGTATAGCATAACATACGTTAGGCAACTAATTATAACATTTACAAACTGAAATCAACAAATTGTATTATTTATATACATTAGTCAGCTAACTCTTTATTGTAACATGTACGTGCATTAGTGAATTAATTGTTCAAGCAGTGTACAAATAGATGTAATAGTTAATTACCCCCGTGTGGGTTCCATGGCCTCGTTGTGGGAAAAACAAGAATAAACCCACTGCCACCCCACCAACAAGCATGTCGTAAGAGACGACTAATTGGAGCTTCCTTTGAAGTCGTAGTGCATCTGCCTGAGAGGCAACGAACCAACAGTCTGTATATAATTAAGTCATGATCATCATGGTCCTTCCCTCGCCCTGCCTTGTTTACTCCAAATGAAAAGTAATACGAATACGTTTGAAGACAGCATGCTGAAGAAGCTGTCGAACTAGAAGCGCAGCGCTCATTTCAGAGCTTGTCTCTGAGACCAGCTGCCAACCAAAGCTAGGTGCCTTGTCCGGCCTGCCATAACATTAGGTTTTCGCGTAACATTTCCTCTTCCTATCATAAAGCTAACATCTTCTAATGCTTTCTTCCGCATGAAGAATGTAACTAGTTAAATATTTTTGCTTCTCATCTACAATATTTCTCTAATTATATTTCTACCAGTTTCTGTTAAAACACTTCATTTCCTCTTTGCAACCAGAGATCCACAATGAACTATTACCTGCAACATGGAGCCTCGAAGGAAAAGCTAATTGTTGGATTAGGCGTGTATGCTCGGACATGGTCACTGATTCCTGAATCTACTTATACAGGTGTTGGGGCTCCAGCTGTAGCTGGAGGTATTGCTGGGATGTACACGAGGGAACCAGGCGTACTTGCTCACTATGAGGTATTTGTTTCGTTACTATGGTCAGTTTCAAAAGTCGCGACCTACTTTAACAATCTGAAACTCAGTAACATTTCTGTGACAACTGTTGAAATTGTGCAGGCAACCTGTTAATAACCATGTCCTGTGTAGGGAAACTATTATAATTTAAATAAACATTTAGTTTTTGTTTTTTGTTTTGAGTTTTTTCTGTATATGAAAACAAAGAAAGCGCCGATTCAAAGCATTCACTTAGCATGTTTGTAATAATAGAGTGACAGGAACTTTGAAAAACATCAAACTTCACATATAAATAGACATATGGAAACGGCCTTTCACACTCAGGTGGTAAATATCTCTCATTGTCTGGAACAGACTGTGGGTCAACCCTCAACTCAATGTTCTCCAGAAAACCTATGCAGGCTTTGTGAGGGGAACACTTGAATGTAGGATACCTGCTTGGGGCACAGCAGCTAAATCAAATTTTCACAAAGTCTTGGAGATTCAGAACCATGCTCTCTGCATTATATCAAAACCATGAGCACCACACCCATATCAGACTTGGAAACAGTTATGTGTTCTCCATGCTCTGGAAGACAGGAGACACACAAAGTTCCTTACGAAGCTCTTCAAATACCACCGCTTGCCAGAACAACCCATGCGCAGCCGACCGCAGAAACTGATGAGAACATTTTTCATTAAGAACGCAAATGCCAAGCTCGATGACTTTAAAATTCCTTCCATAGTATCACATGTTTCACGAAAATCGTACAATCACTACCGCACCCTCCCCTACCCCCGGTAAGGGATAACTTACCAACATTAAGAACCACCGTAACATGGATCTCCTCCAAATCATACATAAGATGGGATCAACAGACTGTATCCACACCAGAGTTGAATTAGAGTTTATACAAAAGGTTTAGCCAAGAGATCAATAAGAGACGGATGAGAAGGAATATACATCTTTTACTTCTTCTTCAGCATTCCGAGACCTTAAGGTTCATTGCTGCACATGTCACCCGCCTCCATTCATCTCTATGGTTGGTCTTCTCTTTCCCCGTTGGGAATACCAACTGTTTGCAGGTTTAATTGGACATTATCTCTCCATCGTCTTCTTGGTACGCCTCGTGGTCTACAACCATTTGGCTCCCTTGTATATATAATGTTTACCTCTCTGTCATCTGACATTCTCTCATTATGCCACAACCATTTCAGTCTATTACCTTTTATGATGCTAGTGATCAATGGTGATCAGATTATACATTTTTTTGTTGGTTCTCACTCTCCACTCCCCTCTTTTGCATCGTTGATGGGTCCAGAGATTCGTCGTAGGACTCGAAAATTTGTAATAGACGTGCTCCAAGTTTTAGAGCAATATAAAACGACTAGTGTTATCAACGTTTTACAGATTTTAATCTTAGTGTTGCGAGATGGACACCTTGACTTAAGCAGATGTTAAAGGGCATAGTATACTTTATCTCCACATTGTATTTTAGACTATTTCTTTTCTCATGAGGAATATACATAGAATGCCCAAATGGTTTAAAAATTGAACAAGTTTTACCAACAGGTTAATATTCCTCCGGTTACAGAGCAGAGGAAGATGCACTTCTGGTAGCATTTTCTTTTTTGAGTGGACAACATCACAGCATATATAGCAGAGTGGTCTTTCTGACTGTTGCTTTGTCAGTTCTACTTTGTAGACTTGAGGCAACAGTTTATTTAATGTGTACTGCAATAGATTCCAAGTCAGCGGGGTTGGGAAGCCAATGTAATACAAATGGACAGATTGGCTAGAAGCGGCAGTGACATATGGCAATTAAATCGTGTGACAAGCCATCAAGACACGAAGACATTCATACAGTCTGGTATCCAAGAAAAGTGGCTGGATACACACACCAAATTTTGTTCTGAGGACTCGGTTCATCGCCTCTCCAGAGAGGGATAATATGTTATATTCAGACTAAGGACAGGGCACAACATATGTTCAAACTTTTCGGTGTAGGAAACACGGAGACGTGTCCCCACAGCTTGGCACCGAAAAAAATGCTGAACATATGCTCCTACGGTGTTAATTGTATGCTGACAACTAGACGCAATCTGTCCTGTTTCAAACCGAAAAAAGACAAAGCTGAATGGTACAGGAGGAGATATGGACTGCGCGATAGTATTCATAAAGGCTATCGGCCTCATAGCGGCGTCCGTGTCTTAGGCGCTGCGCGTCCAACTCGTAATTCCAGTGTACCGTGATCGAAACCAACTGCCGGCAGGATAAATTTTTATCATAGTATGGGGCGTGGTAGGTCGACCCAGCCTTAAATGGGTACCAAGATATCTGTCCTGGGGAAGTAAAGACGACCGGCGTAATGCTAACCACATTACCCATCTAGTGACGACTGGTCAGCAAAAATATGGGTGCTCTTCCCATAAGCCCGATGCGCCTAAAGGCGTGGAAAGGGATCTTTACTTTACGTTACTTTACTATCGGCCTCGTGATACACATTTACCCACAGAAGGATCGAAGAAGAAGACTATTCATGTTGTATATGCTAATAAAGTCTTTCTACTTAGTCTGCTTTTTCCCGAAAGCTACTGTATTGCTAATTATAGAACCTAAAGTCTGCTTAACAGTGAAATCTGAAGTCAGTCTAATCTTAGAGCTTCTAGTTTTATGTGTGTGTGAAGCCTACAGTCCACCTGATGACAGAACATACAGTCTTCGTGAACCATTTAGTCATGTAGTTATTTTTCATTTACTTCTAATGTAGGTCTGCAACCTGTTGAAAAATGGCTACACAGCGCAGCTAGACCCCCAGGGAAAGGTCATGTACGCTTACAAAGGAAATCAATGGGTTACTTACGAGGATCGAGAGACTATCGGGTTCAAGGTATTGTTATTCAGCTTTTTGTTGTTGTTCTTCTTCTTGATGTTGCTACCACGTTTATCTTTTGTAGTATATTTTGCAGATGTATATGGACGGCCAGTAATTCTCCAGGGTCCTCGAAATATCATTGGCAAACCTCAATGTCGTCGTCGTCATCATGATCGGCTTCCACAATTTACGCTACGCTAGTAGTAGATATATACAACAGTATAGAAACACACTGTCAGGTCAAAATGGAGGATATGCATGATCACTGTTCACTTGGAAGAATGATAAGCTTCGAAGTTTTTTTTAATTCTGACAGCGCTTTGCTAATGCAGTTTCCAAATAAGGACGGTAGTCTTCGGTTTCGCTGCATGAGCTACGGAGTTAAGTGCTTGGTTACATTCTGTGAGCTGTGTTCTTCCTGTGGAATGCCTTTGATTTGTGAGTGGTTGTGATGTGTTGCTCAAAATGGCCATTAGCCGGTTTACTTGTGACCTAGTGAAATACCTTATGTAACAACTCTGTGTGTAGCCAACGTATCGTGCCCGACTTCTTCCAACAACAACAAACTGCCTTTCTGGTAACAATTGTTGGTTTTGGCGTCTCTAGCAACTTCTTCTTCTTCTTCTTCTTTCGTTCGCATGAAATAAATTGTCTATATCTGCAAAGCCGTCTCTTGTATGAATTTCACTGTCTTTTGTAATTCACTAAGCGGCCCGTAAAGTTTGACTTCCACAAGTGTCTCTTTTGGCCAAATGTTTTGCCTGAAAGCGTTGAATATGGGACAGTCTTTAAGGATGTGATCTGTTGTTTCAGGTGCCAGTCCACAAGTACACATGGCCGATTGGCCAATCTTAAATTTGTTGTACATGTGGGAGCGAAGTCTATTGTGCCCTGTTCTAAGGCGAAGGATAATAACTTGCTCTGGTCTGTCCATAATATGGTAATCATCTTGTGCCAGTTTCGGTGGCATTCTGATTGATTTGATCATTCTCTTCTTCTGTTGATAAGAGACTGGTATGTCAGGTTGTTCTTCAGTTGCACCTTCCTTAGCTAGTTTATCAGCTTTTTCGTTTCCGGGAACTCCACAGTGGGAAGGTATCCACTGCATTACTAATTTACAGCGGTTGCCTAGTTCGGATAATAGTGTCCGTATGCTTGGTAATTTTCCAGACTGGAGTGACTGAAGTACTGCTTTTGCATCTGTCAGGAATACCACTGGTTGTGAAAAATACCCTGTATTTAGTAGTTTCTCTACCGCTATCTTGATGGCTTGAACTTCTGCATCATAGTTGTGACAGTGCTTTCCCGTTGGTAATTTGGCTGTATCCCTGGTATTATTAGGATACTCAATGTACACTCCCGCACCTCTAGCAACTAAAATACGCTTCTACTCATCGTGCATATTTATGGATTGTTCAGGGACTAGTTGTTTGTTTACCAGTTTTTCAAATACGACAGTAAGGGACAATTCCTTTGACTTACACTGGCACAGGAATCGAGCAAGCATTAGAAAACCCGACTGCAATGAAGTTGAAACCTCGACTAAGACTAAGAAGTTTTTGTTTGTAACAATATTTGTCGGTTGAAATTTCCTCCATTTGTAGACTGAAAGGATATAGTTTCGTCGCCCAGCTTCTGAGTTGAGTGCATGGCGCCACATTGTGAGCTGTGGATTCAATTTCGAATGTTTTTCGACTGCAATCAACGTGAGTCTGGAAATAACGAGTGGCCTTTTGCCACGAGCCGGTGTTGCCTTGTGTGATTAATTACGCGTGCACCGAACTACTGATCTGTTCGTTACTGCTGCTTCCATTTATGGTGAACTGCATTTCTAGGACTGACTTCCCAGCAAAGACTGTGGATTTGGGCCAAGGTAGCCACATTGAAAGAAAAGCTATGGGGAACCGGTGGCGACCTTAAACGCACAATCCTATTTGTGACCTAGACGGGACTCAATGTTTAGCAAGACTAATGTCGAACGCAGAAGATGAAGAAGGAGTAGGGCTGACTGTAATATGATGACTGCCTTATGCCTTTGATGCATGTGTAGCTTTCGGCTTTGCCGAGACTGCAGTCTGTGTCTATATTTCTCCACAAGGGACAGTGGTGGACATTCTCTGTTGTTTTCGTTGGCACAGGAGCGGAGCCACTATGGGGCGACCCGTTTGCTATGAAGTTGAAACTACGATTACCTGATTACAGTGACAATATATAATATCGTGTTAAGGAAAAAGATTGAACACGATTATTTTAATCGGTACAGTTATGGACAAAAATATAATTTATCTTCACCTGTCTAAAAAAGAGTTAACTTCGCAACACTCAGGTTTGAAACAGGACTAAGGTCAGTAGTAGATGAACAACCAGAACTTTCCGCCAGAGTTTATAGGTTAGTAGCGTATCCATTTCAGGACGTTGCAGAACCAACCCCAACAGCCCATGGCTGTTGTGTGGTTTTTCTAGGCAAATTTAGGTCCAGTAGTTTGCCATTGCTTGCTGGACGGTCGGCTTCTCTAATACCACTGTCGAAACCAACGCAAGGCGCATGGCTCGCAACTGGGATCGAACCCGGCATCCCGGCATTACGAAGCGTTCGCATCGACTTAGCCACAGAGCTGACATTTATACACGTATAATTGCATAATAGCGGCGTCTGTGGTTTAGGCGTGCGTGAGTCCGACTCGCAATCCAACATACCGCCATCGAAACCCACTGCTGGCTGCGTGGATTTTTATCATGGTATAGGACGTCGCAGGTCGACCTTGCCTAATTGGGTACCAGGATGACTGTCTTGGGGAAGTAAAGACGGTAGGTATAATATTACCCACCTAGTGCCGATCGGTCTGTAAAAATATGAAACGCTCATGTGCCCGATGGCGTAAAAAGGGATGTTTACTGATTTTCTTTTTTCCTTTTCTTTTTTATTTAAAAAAAAAAATTTCATAATAATGAAAAGGTGTACATATGTGAAACTAAACTGTGAAAAGTCACACTGCAATACAGTCATATAATGTTGACAAAAATAAATAATTTGAGTTAATACCTTCAAAGAGAAATATTATTTTTCTCAGTCTAAGATGTTTCATTACAGGGAATTATATTTTAAAAGTCTGGGCCTCGAAGAACATTGACTTGTAATTAACATTATATCACTGAAAGTGATATACTTTTGGTCATGTAACATTTCATTGTTACAGCAAATAGACAGTAATTTAAAGCACGATTTATTGAAGTCGGGACAGAAAGAACTTGCATGAACATGGAATCGGGACTTTAAAGACGTCCTAGGCATAGAAAAGCGCGAGGTACTAAACTGACCCCCCCCCTTTCCCCCCCCTCTCCCCCCCCCCCCCCCCCCCTCTCCCCCCCCCCTCTCCTCCCCCCCCCCCCCCCCCCAAAAAAAAAAAAAAAAACTGAATGTTTTTAAAGGGTGGTTTTCAGAATTTCTGCAAAGGACTTGCTACCTGATGATGATGATCGAGAAAAATATTGCAATGTTTTTGTTTTTTTTTGGGTCCTGATTTCTTAGTTATTTGGTTTTTATATTTCAAGATTTCTTTTGACCCATCAAGGGGGAAAAACCTGGCGAGGAAGAGATGTATGGAAAAATCAAGGGAACAAGTGTTGGACAGTTTGGCCTCTTTGCATGAAAGAACCTCTGTATTAGAAATGACCGACTGTACACTAGACAGAAAAGTAAAGTTTTCCACGCCTTTGGGTATAGGGCATCTAGGGCTAGACATTTTTGTTGAAGATCAATCGGCACAAGATGGCTGATGTGGACAGCATCTCGCCGGCCACCTCTACATCACGGAACATCACCCAGTACCCACTCAAGGCTGGGTCGACCTGGGAGCCAAGGTCATTTTTGAGAAAAGTCCGGCTGCGCCAGGGAGCGAACCCAAGACTTTTCGATCTGCAGCGAACGTCTAGCCTCTCCGCCACGGCTACTCCCACACTAGACAGAAGGATGTGGACAAAACCGATTTACCAACGCCACACGGCATAAACTATAGGAAGAAGTGACACAGTTTCTGGTAACATCAGGTCACGTAATTCCTCAGAGTGGATTCTGTTTCCCTTAAACACATTTTTGCCCCACTTACAAGGATGTAATCGTCTACTTAACAGGGATGTATCCTTCTAAGTCGGAATATATCTGATCTACAGAACAGTCTGCATACAAATAAGTCAGATCTGTAAAATGGATGTGCACAAAAAAACTCAAGCTCTGGGTCAAGACCAAAGTTCAGAGGCGGACGAACAACCAGTACCTTTTTTTTCAGAGGCGACTACCACCAGTGAACCAGTGAACACGAAGAGAAAGACGAAGAGGTTTTGTAAAACCCGCCGGTGTGATGTCGACTACATTAGCCATCGAATTCTTAGGGGTTTATAAAAGACATTACCATATCACTAAATGTCTATAACGTCACTAGTCTTCTTCTTCTTCGCTTTCACCAGCTGTACACTCTGGCGGAAAGTTCGGGTTGCTCGTCCACTACTGAACTGCAGTCCTGCTCCAGAACCTGAGCGTTGCGCGTGCATCAGTTATACAGATCTCATTCTCTTGAATACAGACTGTTGGTTCCTTGCCTCTCCGGCAGATGCACTCCGACTTCAAAGGAAGCTCCCCAGTTAGTCGACTTTTACGACATGCTTTTTGGGAGGCAGTGGGTCTATTCTTGTTTTCCACACTATGGGGCCCCGGAACCCACACGGGGGACGCCACTAGTGTAAGCTAAGACCCTTAACTTAAAAAAAAAAAAACAATATGTATCGTGTAATTCTTTTTAAAGTAAAATATTAATACCGCTCTCAGCTCAACTACATCTTAGAAAATGACTTTGGAGGCGCTATGATCTGGTCGTTGGATCACGACGATTTTACCGGGTCGTTCTGTCAAGAAGGCGTCAACCCTTTAATCACTGTCATTTCAGGCACTTTGATCAACGCCCCTGAGTGAGTACATATCTCTGCATGTTTGCCTTGCTACTGCGTCTCCTGTCTCTCTCACTCACACAAACATTAACTCACACATTTATTCTCACACGCACCCCCCCCCCCACCAATTTACTCACTTACTAATTCACTCAGATGCTCTGATCTCTCTCTCTCTCTCTCTCTCTCTCTCTCTCTCTCTCTCTCTCTCTCTCTCTCTCTCTTTCTCAAACGTCTCGATGGGTCACATACAACAATATTTCGAAAACTGAGCATAAAATTGGTCTAATAAAATCACATAGAAGCCAATTAATTTTAGGTTTGAATTTCTAGGTCTTCAAAAGCTATCTAGGTACTTAATTTATAACTTACCCCTGACGTCACGACAACGTCACGGGAGACATTCCCAATAAATTCTAGGGTGTTCAGGTTGTAGTTTCTCTCGATTTATCTACAGCCAAGTTTAGGGTTAAGGTTAGGGTTAGAGTTAGGGTTAGGGTTAGGGTTAGCATTAGAAGACATTAGATTAATACTCAAAAAAAAAAAGCACCACACAACAGCACACTTCCACCCCTTGAAATAATGGACTGTCAGGTCAGCTGTGGATTTCCCACGGGAATTTCTTGTTTGGGGTACGTTATAAATTAAGAACCGCTATCTAACTAACTATCTAACTAACTATCTAACTAACTATCTAACTAACTATCTAACTAACTATCTAACTAACTATCTAACTAACTATCTAACTAACTTTCTAACTAACTATCTAACTAACTATCTAACTAACTATCTAACTAACTATCTAACAAACTATCTAACTAACTATCTAACTAACTATCTAACTAACTATCTAACTATCTAACTAACTACCAACAACAAACACATAAATTATTTAAGGTTTAGATGTCCACAGTGTTTAGGATTTTGGTAGAAGAAAATATGCCCAACCAACTCCTCCCCTCCTCACCTTTTCTAATCGCCTTCGACATGGGACATGCTAAACATGCAGCCCCGCCTGGTTCACTAACAGGAAATGGTGTCTAAGGCCCTGAACTTTTGTGTCTTTGTGCTATTTGTTATTTTAAATAAACTTAATGATATAAATTCTTTCGTTTTCTTTGATCTTTCAACTTCTTTGTCGTGAACATTCATCTCCATTACTCTCTGTCTTCTTTAATCTTCAAATTGAGTATAAACTCTCAACTATCAGACCATTTATTGACGGATAGACAGACAGGCAGAAAGTGCAGGAATTCTTTACAGCCAATCTACATTGTAGAGACATCGTCTGTCTGAATTATTAAAGACAAGGGGAAAATATACATACATAAGATGAGAGTACAAGAAGGCAAAATGTGTGGCATAAGAGAAAGAGGAAACCGATAATATCACTTATAAACCAAACCTCACCAGAGCTATCTATCAATGGATCATCCAAAGCATATCAGTTAGCGTCACAAGAAAGACGACTATGAAAGATAAGCACAGGGGTTTGTAAATGCTACACTTCTTTTTCTTCTTCTTCTTCTTCTTCTTCTTCTTCTTCTTCTTCTTCTTCTTCTTCTTCTTCTTCTTCTTCTTCTTCTTCTTCTTCTTTTTCTTCTTCTTCTTCTTCTTCTTCTTTTTCTTCTTCTACACTTCTTCTTCTTCTTCTTCTTCTTCTTCTTCTTCTTCTTCTTCTTCTTCTTCTTCTTCTTCTTCTTCTTCTTCTTCTTCTTCTTCTTCTTCTTCTTCTTCTTCTTCTTCTTCTTCTTCTTCTTCTTCTTCTTCTTCTTTTTTTTTTTTCGTCTTCTCTTCCACCAATTACATCATCGAGGTGTTGGGTGGAGATATAAGGATCGTTTGTGCGCTTTTTCCAGTGCATTGTACAAGCTGGTGTTCATTTCTGTAAGGTTGCCCCTGATGATATTGTTCCATATTTACGTGGTCTTCCTCTTACTCTGTGTTCATTATATTTCTTCAGTTTTGCTCTCTGTGGAAGCTCGTACCAGGGCATTCGTCAGGTGACCAAACCATCTCATTTGTTGTTCTGTAATTAACTGTATATCTGATTTTAGTTCCAGTCTTCTTCTAATTTCTTCATTCTTAACTTTATCTCTTCTTGTCACACCGGCAACTCTCCTAACACATCCCATCTCTGTTGTTACGATCTCCCCCTCATTAGTTATAGTAAGGGCCCATGTTTAGCACTGGTAGCACAATGTTCCCTGAAAACCCGTTCTTATGAAATTTGTTTTGGTTGTCTGAGGTATCTTTCTATGCATCAGAAGCGGTGGTAATTGTCACATAATCTGACTGTCTTTCGCACATCGTTTGTTTTTTCCCCATCTATTCTTCCATCTGAGGTGAAGATATTGAAATTTACTCGTTTGTTTTATTTCTGTGTTATTTACTTTCATTGACATAGTTTCTCCTTGTCTGCCTGTTACCATTTCCTCTGTCTTTTCAATGCTTATCCTTATGTTATATTTCTCACACTTAGTATCTGCTACATGAATAGCGTTAACCTTTCACAAAACCTTCAAATCAGATTATTGATATGAACACGCGTGTTATGACTGTTTCAGAAACTGTCTATAGAACACAGACATGATTCAGAATACAGTAGTCAGAGAAAACCTGTCAAATATACACACCAATGTCATCAACAAGTGCCTTTCCGACTAGCTTGAGCGTTCATGACTCCATAATCTATTATCTTCAACGGCATTTATCAACTTGTGTGTTGACACTCCTCCATGTCATGACACAAGACTGTCAAAAATGGTCTTGCGTTGTCTTCCACTGTCTGTTTTACCACGGATCTTTTAAGTTGTCACAACATTTTACAGTTTCCCTCTTTGCATAACAAGAAAATGAAGACTATATTTGTGATTTGTGTGTTAAGTTGTCTTCAAGTTCGCCTCTTTTTTAAAAACATCTTGGCTGCTTCTTTTGGCTGTCCAAGAAAATCCACATCTCCGAGGCCTCCGGACATTATCTGACTTATTTATAAATTGTCAAGGATTAACAACGACGTGTTAAAACTGGCATAAGTTATTCATACGATGGTTTCCCTATTTACATACTGCCGGTCGCAGGCCAACTCCACTGATAAGTTAGTTGGACTAGTCTACATTGGTCGAGGTTATGGGTATCGCAGTCGGTTGTTGTCTGGCATTTACGTTTTTATTTACGAGAAAGAGATTGCCTGTGACATAGCTTTTGTCACTCTCTGGATTGGAGGGGGTTATGGAGGGGCAGGAGGGGGGGGGGGTTATGTGTTCGACCCAGTATCTAAATGTTTTAATAGCTCTGGCATGGTGAAATATACAACACGCGGTATCAGCGCGAGTGTGGAATATCCCCGTGACCATGTGTGAAAGTTGTATCACTCGAGGCCGACCTATCAGTTTTGATGCGGTCAGTAGGTCGTCTAATCAGAAGCGAGCAAGTGTGTAGCGGTGTGTAAATGGGGAGAACGGTGTTAAATTTACTCTGGCATTATATAGCATGCACAAATTCTGTTGTCTAATCTCTAAAGACATCGATTTAATTAATAAAATGTGCATCGTTGCATAATATGCAGTTTAAATCTGTCATATTCTGTTCTTTATCTCTGTGATACAACTTCAGTCAGAGGTTTTCTATGTTTCTAGACACTTAAATCTCTGTACTTATCTTAAAATAGCGCCTTTAACTGTTATATACGACATTCAGGCACTATTCTTTTCTTTGATATTACCAATACCCCCATTATTCACACTGAGGCCTGTTTTATCGACACCGAAAATATATTAGAATCGAACAGCTGGTTGTTCACTGCGTTTTCTTATCACACACCTCCGGCTTCCAAAGAAAGTATCTGATGGTGAACTAAAGTTGAAAAAAAGGGGGGGGGGGGGGGGGGCTCTACGAGGAGTCCCAGACCTTGCCGCCTTTCCTTCTCAGAAAATTCCTAGTAAATTCTGAAGCTGATCAGAAAAGCATCTTTATGCGACTGTGCCTTCAACAGAGCTATATTGGTGGAGAGAAACATTCAATTAGTTATTAGACTTAATGACGGACTACTGTTTCGGCAGCCATGTTTCTCATACTATAAAATATTCCTTTCAGTTCTTCGGTGTCAAATACAACAGTTGTGACGACAACATCAACTGTCACCTCAACAACGACCAGCACTACAACAGCTTCCACAAGTACTTCAACCCCAACTACCACCCAGCCGACAACAACTTCAACACAAACCACGACAAAACCAACCACTTCAACACAAACCACCACAACACCAACAACAACTTCAACACAAACAACCACAACACCAACAACAACTTCAACACAAACAACCACAAAGGCAACCACAATTTCAACTGCTGTGCCACCAAAGGAAGCGAAATTCAGTAAGTGACCTTATGCAGCTAGTGCCTGCTTTCTTTACCGTTGCCGTTACTCACAGTGACATTTATCACTATATAACAAACTAGATGGGTAGGTAGCTAGATAAATAAATGGATATATATATATATGATGGGAGATGAATGTATAGGTGTGTCGGTAGTTGAGTTGGTAGCGAGGTTTATGGATGATGGATAGATGCGCACATGACGGATGGTGGATAGACTGACGGATGGATGAATTAGTAGGAGGATATGTAGATAGAAATACAGTTGAATAATGGATTAGTTTTTAAATTAGTTGCGTATCCTTTACAGGACGTTGCAGAACCAACCCTAACAGCCCCTGGCTGTTGTGTGATTTCTCTAGGCAATTTACGTCCAGTAGTTTGCCATTGCTTTCTGGATACCACTGTCGAAACTAATGCAAGGCGCATTGCCCGCAGCTGGGATCGAACCTGGCATCCTGGCATTACGAAGCGAAGCGTTCGCATCGACCTAATGGATTAGTAGTTAGTGAGAAAACTGGAGTACATCGCAATGGAAGGAAAGGTAGAGAGAGGGAGAGAGACCAAGAGAAAAGATGCTGAACAGTTTGACATTATGGCATGAAGGATCATCTCTCTCCAAGTTGGCTGAAAGTACACGAGAA